TTTCCTCTTTGACTCAAGTTGTCAATTGAAAAATGAGATCGACTGTAATTTAGTTTTCCATAAGGAAATTCTAGGAACAATGATGGCCTTGGTAACTCCTATTTGTCGAGCACAATGATAGTCTGAATCATTCATCTACAGCTGGCCTCTTAAACCAGCCTACTATCTCCATCTCGAGCTAAGATAATATTTCTCTGATTTTTGGTGGTTTTAGATGGTTGCACTGAGGTAGTTTTAGGTGGTTGTACTGAGGTGGTTTTAGATGGTTGTACTGAGGTAGTTTTAGGTGGTTGTACTGAGGTGGTTTTTAGATGGTTGTACTAAGGTAGTTTTAGGTGGTTGTACTGTGGTGGTTTTTAGATGGTTGCAATTAGGTAGTTTTAGTTGGTTGTGCAGAGGTGGTTTTAGATGGTTGCACTGAGGTAGTTTTAGATGCTTTAAGATGGTTTGCTTGTAGATTGTTTAAGATGGTTTAGGGCCTGGTTACATAAAGGTGGGGGACCCTTGGTAGTTGAGGTAACCTGCCTACCTGTGGTTGAGAAATAGCCTGTGTTAATGTACAATCTTACAACCTCAAGAACTCTAGCAACCCCAGCAAGATACATTGACCCACCTTGGGATTTTTACATGGCAAATTGCCATCCCTGTTGGGAGACATTCTCCTAAGCAGGTCACCCTGCCTATCATGTAAACATGATCAAGATAAAGTAGGAGATTTTATGGATAGGCAGGTTACCTCACCTAGGTGGAGTCCACCAACCTTCATGTAAACAGGCCCCTAGGATGGTTTTAAGATGGTTTCAGTTGCTTGTACATGGCTTTAGATGGTTTTAGTTGGTTGTAGATGGTCTGAATCAGTTGTAGATCAGGTTTTAGTTGGTTGTGGATGGTTTGAGTTAGTTGCAGATGGTTTGAGGTGGTTGTAGATGGTTTGAGTTGGTTGTAGATGGCTTGAGTTGGTTGTAGATGGATACAGATGCTTCCAGATGGTTTCAAATGGTTACAGATCATTCTAGATGTTTTAAGGTTATAAATGGTTCCAGATAGTTTAAGATGGTTCTGAATGATTTTATTAGATTCAAAATGGTTGCCAATTTTTTTACATGGGTCAAATGATTTAAGATGGGTTTATATGGTTTTAGATGGTTTCAAATGGTTTAAGATTACTTTGGATCCTTTTAGTTTTGTTTTCAGGTGTACATATTGGTTTTAGTTTGTGTTAAGGGGGTTTTTGGTCAGGCCATGCTTTAGTATTTCCCTTTCTTTGCACCTTATGTGTTTCCTTCATAAGTTTTGTCTTATATATTAATACAGTAGAACCCAATTGAACTAAGTGTTTTGAATAAGGTACTACATGCGAGGATGTTAATGCAGAAGGTCATATTCACAATTGACTTCTGATAACTTTCAAATGTTATTCGAGCCAGCAACTAGCAAATGAAACAAAAGTCATTGGGGTGCTTTAGATTTACATGTTTTTTATTCATTTGCTATTGCTATTTTTTTCCTCTCTCTCTCTCTCTCTCCCTCTCCTCTCTCTGTGTCTCTCTATCTTTCAATTTGTTTTTATTTGTTATTTTGCATCTTTTTCAGTATTTTAAGATAGACAAAATTGATGTGGTATTTGTACCACACAATATAGATACAAAAAGAAATACTTTTAAAGAGATCTTGAAGAAGCTCAGAACTTTAATTTTATGGGACTGCATGCACAGACCTCTCCTCCTGGACTTTGCAAATTAGAGCATATAATAACAGTTTCCTTTTTTCAATAGCCTTTTTAGCTACTGTACAATGTCATCTAACTTTTTAAAGTCATATTAATGTGATAAAGTAACTGGAAAATATATTTTTCCAATTGAATAAAGAGAGAAAGTTTCTAAAGAACCTGTGGTGCTGCATTTGTGGGGAAATATAGCAAGAAAATTCTGTATTATTTACTGAGTTGATAATATGAACTTACCATCATAAAGTGTTTCAAAGTTGACTTTTTGAGTGTCAGCCCTAAAGTAGCTGTGACTGCATGTGTGTTGTCAGTGACAGTTAGTTCAAAGTTTTCTTGTTTGTCAAACTGCTAAACCAGTTAGAATTTTACTTTTCTTGGTTTTTTCTTTTAGTGTGAAACATTACTTTTTTTTCTGGTCAGCACTGGATAAACAACCACAATGCGAAGTGTAGTAGTGGTTCCAGAGTGCTTGATGGACACAAGAGGACAGAAAAGAAACTAGTGAGGAAACAAAGTGGCTTTAATGCTTTCACAAGGGAGTCTCTCCACAAAGGAAGTCATTCTTGATCTAGCTAAATTTGTGCTTTACATCTTACCTTTTAAGTTGAAAAATGCATCATGTCCTTTTATCCCACAGAACAAACTCAGGTGGAAGTGCAGAGGTCTTTCGCACCATCGGAGAAAAGTGGAGGAACTTGTCTGACTCAGAGAGAGATGCCTACAAAAAGGTGGCAACAGATTCAGGGTCAGCTGTGTCACTACCCTCAGCTGATAAACAAGCCAAGAAGATAATTGGCAACTTCATGAAACAGGTCAGCTAGTAATAATCATAGTCATTATCATCATCATTATTACAAACTTACAATGATATTTATCACATTTTGTGATGTGAACTTTGTGGTTTATAAATGACCAAGTTCAACTCACCAAGCTGTATAAAGACTGGATTGACAAGTTCTTGAAATGATATACCCAATACATTTACTGACCTTATGATTTTGTTTAATTTGTAAACTGGTCTTAAATTGTGCTATAATAGCAAACACGCATTTCGTATTGAATTTTTCTGTTCGACATTGATTTTAATTGATCAGCATTAATTTATCAGTTTTCTTATTGTTACATTTATATTACTGGTAGATTGACTGTTGTCAAATAAAATTATGATATTTATCTGTGTGGATTGTAATTTAAGATATGCCAAAAATTTTCCCCTTTCTTATAATTTTACAGTTGGTCACCAGGTGTCTCAGCAAGCTCTGATAAATAATGAAAGTTATTCTTAAACTTACTCATAATTACCTGTTTTAAATATCTTACTTTTTGGGTTTTTTCTTTTCCTTGATTTACACAACTTTCTAAGTATGCAAGCTCAGTAATTTTCATGTAATTAAATGTTTGTCACCATACACTCCCATCATGGAATACAACTTTAATCCAGCACTAAACAAACTGACATTGCTTAAGTAATGAGTATATATGTTATCACACTTATTTGGTTCTTCTAATTGTTACCAATCCTTATCAATGTTTTACACAGGTTGCAGAACTGGAAACACTTGGTGGTCATGCACTGATGTTATGTGCTTATGATGGTGTTTGTTACCAAGGTTCAGCTGGGATTGGTGACAGCCTTTTAAAAACAAACATCATGGAAACATTTGCAAGTAGATTACACTGTGAGTACTGACTGTAGATATGCATTAATTAGCACTTTACTCTTGATATATACTTTCAGAAGCTCATTCTAATTTTACTTGTAATGTTGAAATCTTTCTGCAAATTTTTGCGCTTGAGAATTTGTGAATTGGATTTTTTCATATATGAGTTGATGAAAAAAAGAAAAACAATTAGTAAAACCAATTACCTGTTAATTCCAATTTGCATTTCATTCCTGCACTCAAAACATAAACAGAACCTCAAAAAAAGTTATCGAGGGCAGTAGTCCTGGCACTCAATTTCTGTTACTCTAAGTGTACATCTATGTTCTTAAATATCAATATAATCTCAAGATATTAAAACAATAAATGAATCTCAATGAAATTCACTACATTGATGCTTAGATCAACAACTTATTACACCAAGCATCTCGTTTCTTAAGAACTTAGAAAAGAAAGCATTATATTTCCAGTGAAAATAGGTCCTTAGTTTATAGGTAACCCTTGCGAACTGAATTCCCAGTTTTCTGGGAATCCCTAGGAATTCCTAGGAATTCTCAGCTTTACAAACTACCTATAATTTAAGAAGTGTGGAACTCTTGGGAATTTCTGGGAATTGAATTTGAGGCAATTTTAATACCCTGAGGTCCACATAAATTCTAAGAAATTCTCAATACCTTGAATGTGAAGGTTTTAAGAAAAAGAGTAATTTCAGAGGCTTAAAACTTTGGCTCAATAAAAGGTATGCTATACAAAACTTACCAAGAGATATACATACATGTACATGTTTATAACTTAAAGATCATGAAATTTATTACTCAAACTAAGTTTTAGTAAATCTTTACATATAGATTTTCTCATGAACCAGCTGTCAGTTATGTTAAATGGAAATTGCCAACTTCCACAATAATTAACAATAATTACATTGTTATCTTACTTCCCTAACCTACATTACTGGTTGCCTTTGTTAGAAAACCTTGGAACAGTCAAGCTCAGTTGCCTCAAACGCTGTCAGAGACTTTTTGTTGACAATATTTTTAGTAGAAATTTCATGCCTTAGACAAACAAATTCAACACCTAATTAATCTTTCTTTTTTCATGATTGTTGTTGCTGCTTTTTTTCAGTTTTTTGCTCTATTTTCATGACTAATTGCTGTAATTTGTTTTGCTGTTTTTATTCTTGCAAAACATTTTTGTAAGAGTTCCAATACTTGTGGATCATCCACACACTTTGCAAACATTTGGCATACAGACAAGACAGAGGTAGTCAATGTACCCTTTGAGGAAAAACACCTTTTATATGACGTCTTCAATTTACTTTATTTGAAACTCTGATCTGAAAATATTTGTCAACAAGACTTGTTAGTAGTGAGAAGTACCTGTAGTGTTTAAGCTATTGAGACATTTCGTGCCGCATACATGGTGTAATGTAGGTTCGAGTTGCATCTCGAGTAGCGAAAAGCATGGCGTGTTGTAAAAGTCGTGTGCGGTGAATTAAAACACTTCAAAAGGTTTAATCCGTGTTAATCTGCTTATTTATTGGCCATCACCACATTTGGCGACGAGGATAAAGCAGGATAAAGGTTCTTGTGGATCCTTAAATTGAATTTCGCGACATGCCTGACACCGAGAGAGGTGAAACCAGCGACACGCCGCCACAACCAGCGCCGAGCTCGATCGTCGAACCGAAGACTCTTGAAGTTCGTGGTTTACCTTGCTTCGACCCCAAGGGAGAACCGACTACTCCTTCCGTTCGATGGAAACGCTGGAAACGTGCTTTTCATTTGTATGTGGCATCGAAAGGTATTACGAATCAAGCGCAAAAAGTGGCTCTATAACTGCACTCAGGTGGGATGGAACTGCAAGAAGTTTTCTACACGCTTGCACCAGAAGACGAAGCTCAGAACAACTTCGACAATTGTGTAGCCATCCTTGACAAATATTTTACGCCAAAAGTGAACGTACCTTTCGAGAGACACGGTTTCCGACAAATGGCACAACTCCAGAGCGAAACTATCGATCAATTTGTGTGCCGTCTTCGACAAAAAGCTGTCTCGTGTGAGTTTGACAAAGTGGATGAGGCTATCCGGGATCAGTTGATTGAAAAGTGCAGAGATCCGGAACTCCGAAAGAAGTTTTTGGAGAAAGCCCAGGACGGAACCCTTACTGTCCTTCAAGATGTTGCACGAGTTCATGAGTCTGTCATCCTTCAAATGCAGTCATTGGAGATTTCGAGTAAAGATGATCAAGTGAATGCAGTGCGACCTGTTAGAAGAAGAAACCAGATAAGAAAGATGTAAGACCAGGAGAGCATCAGAAGTGCTACAGATGCAATGAAACCGGTCATTTTGCCCACAGTTGCCCTGCCCTGCCCTGAACAAAACATGTAACAAGTGTGGATTCACTGGTCATCTGGCTGTTTGTTGCAAGACAAAGAATCCTAAACGCCCTCCAAGTGGCCGACATAATCCAAATGTGAATGGTGCATATCAAGTGGAAGAAGGCTCAGATCAAAGAGATGCTTATGCCTTTGCCGTGAATGACGGAAACAAGACAAGTGGCATCATACATTTGAAAGTGGGAGGTGTAGAGTTAAAGGATGTACTTATTGACTCTGGAGCATCATGCAACCTTGTGAACAAAGCTACGTGGGAAAGTTTGAAGCAACAAGGAGTGAAGTGCACATCCCAGAAATGCAGCAAGAAGCTATTTGCCTATGGTCAAACTGAACCAATTGAAGTACTGGGAACATTTGAAGCTGAAATTTACTGTGAAGATTCTGCAAAAAGCTGTTTGGACGAGTTCACTGTTGTTAAAGGTCCTGGAAAAACTTTGCTTGGAAAATACACTGCAGAGAAGCTGAATGTATTGAGAGTTGGACCTCCGAGTACACCACTGGCATGTACCATCACCAGCGAAGGTGATGCTGGAGATGTGTTAAAGGACTTTGCTGACATATTTCAAGGCGTTGGAAAGCTTAAAGACTTCCAACTCAAGTTGCACATTAACAAGAATGTCAAGCCTGTGGCCCAGCCAGTGAGACGATTACCCTTTGGTCTTAGAGACAAAGTAGACAAGAAATTGGATGAGTTGTTGCAAGAAGACATCAGAGAGGAAGTACCATGTGGTCCTACAGAGTGGACGTCACCTCTTGTCGTCGTGCCAAAACCAGATGGTGATATCCGTATTTGTGTTGACATGAGAAGAGCGAATGGGGCCATTGAGAGAGAGAGGCATCCTATTCCTACCATAGAAGAATTTCTCCATGACCTTAATGGTTCAACTGTATTCAGCAAACTAGATCTGCGCTGGGGATTCCACCAGATTGAGCTCGATGAAGAGTCCCGTCAAATTACTACGTTTGTGACACACAGAGGCCTTTACAGATACAAAAGACTAATGTTCGGCATTACGTCAGCCCCAGAAAAGTATCAGAAGATTGTGAGTGATGTTCTGCAAGGTTGTGAAGGTGTTGCAAATATTGCAGATGATGTGATCGTACATGGATGTGGAATTGAGCAGCATGACAAGTCATGTCAAGTTGACCTTCTTCGGACATGACCTGAGCAAGAGTGGAGTTACACCCAGTGAAGAAAAGGTAGCAGCAGTTCAGAATGCGAAACCTCCAAAGAATGTGGCTGAAGTCAGATCTTTCCTAGGCCTTGTACAGTACTGTGCTAAATTCCTGCCAAATTTTGTACAGGAAGCTGAGCCTATCAGACAGCTGACTAGGAAAGACGAGCCATTTGTATGGAAAGAAGTTCAGCAACAGTCTTTTGAGAAGCTCAAGTATCTCTTGACACGAGCAGAAACACTGGCATACTTCAAGAATGATTGCAAAACCCGTATTGTCGCAGATGCAGGTCCTACTGGTATCGGAGCAGTCCTAACACAATTCCAAGATGGAGTCTGGAGAGTGATTTCTTATGCGTCCAGGAACCTAACCGACGTCGAAAGGCGATATTCTCAAACCGAGAAGGAGGCACTTGCCTTAGTGTGGGCCTGCGAAAGATTTAATCTGTATGTTTACGGTCGTGACTTTGAACTTGAGACTGACCATAAACCTCTGGAATGTATTTACAAGAATACATCCAAGCCATCTGCAAGAATCGAACGATGGGTGCTCCGCCTGCAAAGCTACAACTTCCAAGTTGTGTATCGTCCTGGAAAAACCAACATTGCAGACGCCCTGTCAAGACTTAACTCCCTGGACCAAAAGGACAGAAGTGGAGAGGAAACAGATGCAGTGAAAATGATTGCAGAAGAGAGCACACCTGTGGTGTTAACAGCGAAAGAAGTAGAACGTGCATCAGAAGAAGACCCTGAACTGACCAGCGTGAGACATTACATTCAGAGTGGAGACTGGTCTCAGTGCAAAATGCCCCATTTCCTGTGTGTGAAGAATGAACTGTGTGTGCTTGGAAAACTGGTGTTGCGTGGTACAAGAATTGTCATACCCCAGAGCCTGAGAAAACAAGTCTTACATTTAGCCCATGAAGGTCATCAAGGCATAGTCAAGATGAAGAGCCGACTCAGAACCAAAGTGTGTTGGCCTAAAATGGACACTGATGCTGAGCGAATCTGTAAAAGCTGTCACGGATGTTAAGTAGTGAGTGGATTCTGTACACCTGAACCAATGCAGAGAGTAGAACCACCAACAGGACCCTGGCAAGATGTAGCTATTGATGTGTTGGGTCCACTTCCTTCTGGAGAGAGTTTACTTGTAGTAGTAGACTACTACAGCCGTTTCTTTGAAGTGGTAATTATGCGGTCAACCACATCACAGAAGATGATAGAAGCACTAACACCGATCTTTGTACGTTACGGCTATCCATTTACCCTCAAGTCTGACAATGCAGCTCAGTTTGTATCGGAAGAATTCGAAGAGTTCCTGTCTAAGAATGGCATCGAGCATCGAAAATCTCCTCCACTTTGGCCCCAAGCCAATGGTGAGGTTGAACGACAAAACCGAACCTTGCTTAAAGTGCTCAAGATAGCCCAAGTGGAAGGAAAGAGGTGGAAAGATGAGCTGAACAAGTTCCTGGTGGCGTACCGAACAACTCCTCACTCTACCACTGGGATGACCCCAGCATCTCTAATGTTCGGAAGAGAGTTGAAAACAAAACTGCCTGAATTACGCCCCAACAAGAGCCTGCTGGATGAAAGCATCAGAGACCGAGACTGGAACCACAAATTGTCTATTAAGCTCTATGCTGACAAGCAAAGGAATGCAACTTTCAACCCAGTAGTCCCTGGTGACAAGGTTCTGCTTAAAAACACCAAATCACCTGGTAAGCTGGCTCCAAAGTTTGAACCTCAGCCATACACCGTCCAGACCAAGGAAGGACAAGAACTCACCTTGAAAGCAGACAATGGCACCTTGTCTAGGAGAAACAGCTCTTTTGTCAAACCTTACAACACCCCTGGAGAGCCAGAGTCTTCTCCTCCTGAACAGAGTTCCAGAGAAGCAAACCCCCCAAGCCCAGCTCCAGCAATGCCTGAGTCTAGCACAACCTCAAGTACGGCAGAGACAAGAAGCAGACCAACCCGTGCTACGAAATTGCCTGGAAGATTTAAAGACTTTGTCCTGGACAAATGAACTGACTTGTTTGAACTTTTTAGACTTTTCACTGAACATGATTTTGTTCAGAACAGTTTGCGGTTTGAACCCTCATATTGTTTATGAGTATTTGATATTGTTGTTGCTCGTTATAAAGACATTTTTCTTGAACTCAATTAACTGCAATTAATTGCGACAAAGGAAGGGAATGTAGTGTTTAGGCTATTGAGACATTTCGTGCCGCATACATGGTGTAATGTAGGTTCGAGTTGCATCTCGAGTAGCGAAAAGCATGGCGTGTTGTAAAAGTCGTGTGCAGTGAATTAAAACACTTCAAAAGGTTTAATCCGTGTTAATCTGCTTATTTATTGGCCATCACCACGGTACCAACCAAGTTTCCTTTCATAACTTAATTTCTTAAATGTCCCAATCACTGGATCTCCCAAAAAAATATTACATCTTTTTATTTTTGGTGCAAATTACAAGTCCTTCTTTATATAAAAATGAAAAGTGCTAGTCATACTTTTATAATAACAGCTCTCAAGTTTACTTGTTGTTCTTCTCTGTCTGTCAGCTATCAACAAAATTGTTTTATACTTCGGGCAGTGCATAACTATTTGTGGACCAGAGTTCCAACGCACCTCTGTAATCGCATATAGCTACTTCTGTCTCTTGTACAAATGTTTCTCCTTTGTAAGACGCACTCTACTCTGTTGTCAATACTGCTTTAAGTTCAGTGGAAACGACTGACTGAGGAATCGAGATGGCGGTGTTGGAACATGTTGCTGAACGCTTGCTACGGTCAAGCTTTGTAGATTTAGGTACTGGTACACTGGGATCATCTATGTATTTCTTACACTTCCGAATGTGGTATCCTTCTTTTATAAATATGAGGGTAAAAGACGATTTGTAGTCGCATTCAAAACTGTGATTGGCTTGTGTTATTTCTCACCTTTGCCATAAACACAACTCAAGTGAGTTTCGAGTCTTTGTTTTCTCGACAACTTTCGGCCACAAATCGTGCATTTCTAATACGATCGATTCTTGTCGATTATTTCTACATAGAGTGAGCTCACATCTTTATTTATATCAACAAGCTATCCATCTTCTAGAAGCAGAGAACCGGTCGGAGAAGTCAGAATAAAGTTGGGCGCTTCTCTTAACACTGCAATCGGCAAGCCAGCGGATTCACTTTGCTAGCCAATGACAAGTCCTAAAAGATCCACGTGATCATGCCCGTGATCGGAAACAAAGAAGACTCCATTTGGCGCTCATCTTTGAATGTACTTTTCATCGGTTGATCGCTTTTCTCAACTGTTTTGCTTAATATAACATTTCTAAAGATAGCTTTTATTGTGGTTCAATGGGAAAACGAGAATAGCGTGAGTGTTGTAAAAGAGAAGAAAGTCGTTGGCGCCGTGGAGTTAAAAGAAGGGACAACAGTTGACATATGGACCGCAGAGATTCCAACCCCATGTGATGGAAAATAGGGAGTAATTATTAGTGCCAAAGACACGAGCTTCTAGGGGGGTCAGGGGGCATGCCCCCGGGAAATTTTGCAAATTTAGGTTCTCTCAAGTGCCATTTCCTGAAGTTTGACATCATTCCGGCCTGAGTTATAACATACCATAATGCTCTTCGCGAAGAAAGTAAGTATAATATGAGTGTTTCACAGTGACAGATCGCCAAAAATTCTAAAGATTAGCAATTTTCCCCTAGTTTTCAGAATTTTATGATAAATCGGGAGAATTTGGTAAAAATCGGGAGAGCGGGAGGCAAGACATCAAATCGGGAGACTCCCGATCAAATCGGGAGGGTTGGAATCTCTGGGACCGGTACAAACAAGGGTCGAGTGGCCATCTGTAAAGCTACGACTTTGAAAGTTTGTGGTAAGTAAAAATTGGGATATTCGTTGTGATCAAAATCTTATAAAAGAATAGATGTAGCGGGTTGAATTAAGCTTACATAACGCTCAGCGCAACTGAAACTAGAATAATTCTGAGAATCGAATCGGTCACTTGCATGCCGCAGTTTCTTAAGCTTATGCTTTAAAATAAAATAAACCTATCAGTAAGGTTTCAAGATTCCTCTAGTCACGTTTGGGAACATTCAAGATTCATAACAAACCTTAGTACATAAAGAAGCCCTCCTTGGTAAAAACAAAATAATGTATCCAGCCCTTTTTTAGTAAAATCCATGAGAGAGATGTACTAACTCCATAACAGAGATTTCTCAATTTGAGAATCCAATGAATGCCCTTTTCCTCATAGCCATCTTAAAAGCCTGGTCTGAGCTTTAAACATACATATTTTAATATATTATTTTTTTCAAATTCAGATGTCAAGAAATCCAGATACAAAATGGTCAAGGTTCTTGTAGACAACCTCATTCAAGGCCAACTCATTGTGAGCCCAGGAAAAAAAAATACAAACAGTACAAACAGCAGCTAAGTTTGCAGTTTAGGATAACTTCATTCTAATTTATTGTTACAGTTACAACAAGATTTTAATCAAAAAATCAATTTTTATTTGTCTGTAATTAGCTCCTTCACTCCCAAGAATATAACTATATAAATATAACTTAAGATATTGTATTTTATGGAAAAGAATCAACAGATTTTATTCACTATTTGTGTCAAACCAAATTTAATGATTGATTGGAACTATTTTATATGAATAGCTGTAATTGAGGATTAATCCGTATGAAGTTTTCAAGAAAAGAAAAATAAATCAAATTCCATCCTAATATTACCACACATTGATGTTAATAATTAATCAAAAATATTTTACATGTAAGCCTTAATTGAGCTTCTAAATTAATTTCATTGAATACTTGAATTTTAGCTGGGTTTTTTTAATTTTAAGTATTTATTTTATATCATTAGCCTCAAATTTTTGCTTAAAATTCCCAGTAATTCTTACACATTCCTAAAAATTCCCAAAAATTCCCAGAAATTCCCAGAAATTCCTAGGAATTTTTTAGATTTACAGCTTTTCAGCGAAAGTCATTGGTTCTCTGAGTTGGAATTCCTAGGAATTCCTAGGAATTCCAAGTCCTGTTGGCTATAAACTTGGAATTTCTGGGAATTTCTAGAAATTTCTAGGTTTTTAGAACCAGAGTTGTTATGGTTGGGAATTCCTGGGAATTCCTAGGAATTCCTAGGAATTCCCAGTCCGAATTTACCGTGAAAATTCACACCTTTATTCCTAGGAATTCCTAGGATTTTCGTAGGAATTCCTAGGAATTCCAAAAGCCATTTCGCAAGGGTAATTCCCTGGTGGAAAAGCAAGACGTGTCAGTAAAACATCTACAAGAAGTGTTCAACTTCAAATACAGTATGCGTTTTTATAGCATATATTTGCCTTTATCCATGCACGTGCGGATTAAGGTCTTCGAAGATCTCGCTCATGTTCCTCCAAAATTATTGAAAAATATCTTAATTTTCTCTTTCCACTGAAATGGCCGCATTCAGTTTCAGTTGATCCATGATTGAAAACTACATCTCCATAAACTACTATTTGAAGCATTTATGGGGTCAATAGCTGTTTTACACTCAGCTTCTGCCTTTTCTTGTGATTTGTTGCAATACGAAAAAAAGTCAGTCTTCTTTCCCAATATAAATTTTATTTCTGCTTTTAATGTATTGATGTGGTAATTCCCTTTATCTATGGCTATGATTTCTGTATAAGTGTCATATTCAACGCAACAAGGAGTGAATTTTAGCTTCCTTTTTTTTTCTAGTCAATTTCTGTCTTTGTCTTTTGTAGGTGAGCTTGTCGGAAACAGAGGAAGTAAAATGCCTTACGCTAAGATACAGCAATTGGGAATTTCATTTAATAACCTTCCCTTGGATTTAAAGAAAGAGATTGGTGTTATTCCGCGTAAACCGTCTCTTTACGGAAGCGACCCCTTCAGCCACCACTCACACATCAACTTCTCCTACGCCCACTCCTTCCCTTGTTAATTCGTCGACCTCCTTTTAATTAGTACTCCCGGTTTAAGTTAAAAACCACTGCTATTAACAACCGTAACAATACCAACTCACAACAAACTAACTACTAATAGAACTTACAAACACCTCAGTCGAAAAGATGAAATTTACACAATATACATCTTCTTTCACTTTGTCACAACCTCGTCACACACAAGTTCTTTAAGTGTTTATCAGTCATCTGCACGCAAAGCCACAGTGAGGGTTGACCACTGTACTTCCCGCGCATCCATTGTTCTTGGTACTCCTTCCTAATCTCAACGCAGCACTTCCTCTGCTGCTGGTTTTATCGTTTCCAAAGGTGAGCAAGTTTTTGTGTCTAGTGCATTAGCACGCAGACACGATGGAAGAGCGTACGGAATTCGAAAAGCAATTTATATACGCCACATTTGAGCACGAAATATGATGTTTTACTCATAGTTTACCTTACGTGACGGATAACATGAAGTGTACACTGATTTTCAACCAGTGGAATGTGTAACCATGTCGATATTTTATCGTTATAATTTCGGAAACTGTCGGTTGACCAATTGGATTCAAGTAGAAAACCGCAAGGAAGAGTCGGGAGCAATTGAATTCGGGGACGAAAATATGACGATGACTCTGATCTTTGACCACCATGTGCTTTTACCCGTGCCTTGAGGAAAGGAGGAATTTCACACTTGTGGATTACGCTTCGGAAAGTTGGCGAGTGTCCTTTTGCTCTTGTAAACTTCATGATGAACTTCTATAACGTTGGTTTCTCAGTATGCCACAGCTTTCGAAGTTTGAGTCAATGTGGTCGAGTAAAAGACTTTAAAGGATGTTTTCAAGTGTTCGATCGATGCTCTCCACGCCAACAGAATAGTCATGCTGTTGTTTACGATGCGTAAAGGAAAGAACTTCAGCTTCGTGAGCTCCATTTGGGGAAAAGAAAAGGCCTTAAAGGCAAACATTGAGCCCCTTTTGGAGAAAATTGAGCCCCTTTTGGGGAAAATTGAGCCTCTTGTGGGGGAAATTGAGTCCCTTGTGGGGATTAATAAGCCTGCCCGTTTGGAGATTACACAAAATGTATACAGAAGAGCGAGAAACCTGACTGATGTTAAAGGAAAGACTCCTTTGACTGACGAAACATCTGCGAAAGCTGTGGTATATATGAACAGAAAAAGTTATGTTAGTAGCAGTATAAATGCGATTAAACGTAATTTAAGCGATTTCTCAAAAACAACTGATGTGGATATGTTGTGTTCACGTGGAACAGATGAAATTGATACACATTTCAAAATAGCTGACCAAAAACAAAAGAAACGACGTAGAAATCGAGAGCCGTCGAGGGTCTCGATGAAACGGATTG